GCGATCCAGTCTGAAGAACAGCTATGAGAATTATTCAAGGCATCTGACAGATAAATTGCTTGAATCTACTCTCAGCTGGACTCTAGTGGTGTAGGTCCTACTGAATTGATGAAGTATGGTCTGGCTTGATTACCTGGGAAGAATTTGAGACTGCTGCTCCCAAGGAAGTGGACAGGGTCCTTGGGGCCATGAGTGTGGCCACCTGTTCATTAAATCCATGTCTTTCCTACATGGTTAAGGCTTCCCAGGAGAGAACATGCAGTTGGGTTCTAGTGGTGGTTAATTCATCCTTGGGTGTGCTTAAGGAGGCAGTCATCCTCTTTCTGGGGAAGGTGGTTGAGAATGTGGTTGGGCTGCAGTTTCAAAGGGCCCTGGCAGAAATCCCTTTCAGTCAGTTTTCAGGCCTGTGCACAGTACTGAGATGGCATTACTTGTGCTTGTTGATGAGCTATGAGTACAGGATGGTAGTTATACATCCATCATGGCCCTCCTTGATCCATCGGCAGCTTTTTCTACCATCCTTCTAGACTGGTGCATGGGGTTGGGAGTGGTAGCCATGGTGTTGTGATGGATCTCCTCCTTTCTCCAGAGCCAGATCCAGTCAGTGTTTGTGGGAGGAAGAGATCCAACCCTAGACCCTTGCTTTTTAGAGTGTCTCAGGGCTCAATTCTCTCCTCTTCCTCCTCGGTAATCTCTGCATGAAACTCTGGGTGAGGTCATCCATCAGTACAGGGTTAGGTATCATCAGTATGCTGATGATCCCCAGTTATATATCTCAACCCAAGGCTAGCCAAGTGATGCCATTACAGTTTTGTCCCAGTGTCTGGATGCTGTAAGGGGTCACATGGGAAGGACAACCTTAGGCTCAGTCCTAGCAAGACTGATCGGCTATGGATTTTAGGGCTATCTGGATCAGAGATCTTCCATTTTTGGTTCTAGATGGGGGTCAAACAGACGCATACAGAACCGGTACACAGCTTGGGGGTCTTCCTAGACTCACATCTGCTCCCTGAAATGTCCTTGACTGATAATTCTGGCAACTTCAATTTATCTAGATAATTATCAACTTTATATGCAATGGAATTACTTGAAATATATAAATCTTTGGGGGGGGAAATCATAAACTCACCTAATATTGGTAGTGCTGGCAACAATTTAGTCTTGTACTGATTTTTTATAGTTTTTTTCCTGCTTTTTTCAACCTAATTACGAGAAATGTTTATTTTTTTTTTCAAGATTCATAATATTCTTGCTTTAGAAAAAAAGCTCTACAGATTTTACTAGTTTCTAAAACATCCAGTTCTCTCTTTTTTTCTGTTTATGCATACTTTAGGAGCCTGTCTTATTGTATTTTGCCAATAACTGCTTGATTTCTAAATTTAATTTGCTTGCTAATTGTGAGGATTTCTTTTTAATTACACTTAACTGGTTTATGCATTCTCCTCATATTACGCTTTCATAGCCTCCTATCTCATTTGCTTTGCATCATTTTCTTTAAGAACATTTGTTAAGACTTAAGATAAATTTTGTTTTGCTGCTTAAGGGCTAATACAGGATATTCCCTCCCTCCCTCCCTCCCTCCCTCCCTCCTTCCTTCCTTCCTTCCTTCCTTCCTTC